TGGCCACTACCCTGAGCAAGGACCCTTACTGCCTTCTCCACCAATGTATGTGGTACATTTAGACACACTGGTAGTGCTCTTTGTCTAGCCAACCTATCCTTGGCCATATATGGTAGTTTGTACTTGTTTCCTCTTTCATCATTCATAACTTACTTGCTGCATCACATCTTGGTAGCTTAACCAAGAGCTGCATGTGCACCCCTAACTGCTTCCACAAGTTCTGCCACATTTTTTGGAGCACACTTCTCTTTCAGAGATTGGATGGCTCTAAAAAACCCCAAGTCAAGTATGTTTAGGTCTGGGGAGTTAGGGGGTTGGTTAGTTAAGGTAATATTGAAACCATTTACATTTCTTGTTGTCATGAATTCTTGGTTTGTCCTAGAAATGTAGGGTGTGGCATTGTCTTGCTGAAGCACAATGCTTCTGTCTAATAAAGATGGCCATTTCTCATGAATTGCAGGTATAACTTGGTTCATTAACATATCTTTTGTCACCTCTTTGGTAACAATGAGCAATTGTTTCATTTCCAAAACCCCAACATCTCTATTCTTACCCTTTCTTTTAGCTGCCACAGTCTGAACAAAAAGAAATATTCCAATTTTCCCATCCCATATTACTTCTCCATTGTCTGAGAAAAATGGTCTACCAACAACACATAAGAACATGACCTTGGTGATGAATCTCTTTGACTTACAAGTTCTGAAAGGATCCATTTCAGACTTGGTCAAATAATATTTCTGTGATGTTTTGGACATAAAAAACCATTTTTCATCCATGTGGAGAACATTATGAAAATTTTTGAACTTGGGATTACAAGGGATGCTTGTGGGTTCTAACTGATTCGAACAAAACTATAATCTTTGCAGCTTGTTTCCATCTGTTAGAAGGGGTTTAATTGCATTTGAATGACTTCTTAGCAAACCTCTCTTAATGCAAAGATTGACAGTAGATTTGGACATACCAAGTGCAGCAGCTAGTGATCTGATGGTTGTCTTTTGGGCTAGAGTAATGTGTGGGATAGATTCTACATCTATGACCATTCTTTTTCTACCAGTATTCCCATAAACCTTACTCTTGACATCAATGGCAACTCCCTCCTTTAACTGTTTTTTAGCTCTGCTCCAAATGTCTCCTACACTTCTTTTGGAAACATTTAATTCATCAGCAACCTTGCTGATAATTCCTTTCTGAGCTGTGGACTCACCTGAAATGTTTTTTTGCATATGGTAGGATTGCTTTTACAATTCTTTGCCTTTGAGAGTTTGATAGCCTGGTCCTGCATGATCTTTCTTCTCTTCGCAGGTCCTCATCTCTGCCTGGGTGAAGGACAGTGGCAGCAGCAGCAGCAGGGAGGGTGCCAGCAGTGATGATGGTGGAAGAAGAAGGGACTGACGCAGGAGGAGGTTCAAGACCAGGAGCAAACATTAAAAAAGAGAAGGAGTACGCTAGGGATTCCCTTTCTAAAATTGGAAAGTATACTCCTACTTAAAAATAGGCTTTGGTGGGATTTTTTGTTTTTGTTTGGGAGGGAAATTTTTAGAACTTTCCCTCCTTAATATATTTGGTTGAACATGAAATTTGTAAAAGTGGATGCCTTTGCTTTTTGGGCTTAATGTACCGTGGATTGCTTACTTTTGATATGTTGGAGTGTGTCTTTTTCCTTTATTCAATGCATTTTTTTTACCTTTTTTTAGAATGCCTTAAAAAATTTCATTAAATTTTTTCTAAGAGGGAAAATGGGAAGTCAAAGGTTAAAATATAAACTCCTTAAAAATGGGAAAAAGTCAATGTGGGAAGGTTGATTTAGGACGGAGGGAGTATTATAATTGGATTCATCATAGGATATAGTTTTGATATATCAAATTTTATAACATTCCTTTATTTAGATTATGTTTAATTTATGGTCAAAGAATGCCACTATTTCCGGATAAAGTCAAAATGAGAAATATTTTCTGGGACAGAGGGAGTGTATGTATGTATGTATGTATGTACATACATACATACATACATACATGCATGCATACATACATACATACCTACATACATACATACATACTTACATACATACATACATACATACATACATACATATATTTATATATATATATATATACACACACACGCACGCATGCACATATATATGTATATACTCCATCTATCCCAAAATATTTGCCACACTTACTTTTTCAGCAGTCGCAGGAACTTTTGTTTATTTCTACGTTTTCATTGGTTATTTGATAAAATAAAATATTCTTGACTCTTCTTATTTTGAAGAACTTTTCATGTAGTTTTTTTATATGTAAATTTTATTTTTTATTTCTATACCAATATGTAAATAAAATAAATTGAAAAAATTTAATATTTTGCCTCGGCAATTGAAAAATTTTGATATTTTGCCTAGAGAGGGAGAGAGTATATGATCAAGAGGAAAAGGAAAAGGGTATGTTGGTGCCATGATCATATACACATATATACATACACGATACATACCCGGAGTATGTGCTTGTTAAAGTGTAGGCCAACCATTCAATAATGTTACAATGTTATGAATAGCAAATTACACGCAGAATAGATTGACATATATATCTGTGGATCTCCAGGGATATTGTATAAACAGCTCATCCCAAGTTACACTAATAATAATTATTTATTGTTGTTGTTGTTGTTGTGGTTTTTGTACTATGCAAAACTTTGGAATATTCTCAATATCAACCCACATTAAATTAAATTTATTTACTCCCATCTGACCTGTGCTTCAATTATTGACCAGAGAAAAATATAAAATCTCAAGTGCTGTCAATTTCGAAACAGTGTTCCTTTGGTACGTGACTCTCTCACTGTTACGGGGAGCATATACTACTATGACTTCCTTCTTTATTAGAATCTCAAGACTTGAACAGAATCAGCCCATGATGCGAGGTCACACTATTTTTTACTTAATGAGTCAACACCCGCCATTAATTCTCCTTAAACTAATACAGTGTAGTATAATCCCTTTTTTGACGTATATATACTCTATCTATACATTGATGAACTGATTTGTTTTTTTTACAAAAAGTAAAAGTTTAATTAGTAAGCCTAATTGTAACAGAATAACATTTAATAACATTATTTAAATATATATAGGATGAGCTCAATAAGTAAGTTTAATCTTTTGAAGGATGATACTAATCTTGGGACCTAGCAACCTATTCTAAGGCTCCAATGCAAAAGTAGAGCATGAGATGGACGACTCACTCTCGCTCTTGGATTAATAATATCTATTTATTTTGAATAGTGGTTATTTTTTAGGCCGGTTTAGAGAGTGCAATGTGTCATCGCCTATTTTATGTAATTACATTTACTTAGAATGAACGTGGATTTTAATAAACGTTATTAACGAATTTGGAAGTGCGGAGTGAACGCTCGTCGAACGATATTACAAATTCTATAGCAGGATCCAAGGGGCATCAAGGATAGTTTTTATATTGGACATAGTTACGTTGTTTTATAAAAATCCTTTGGATTTTTGTAAACTGAGTTCAAAGGAATGTAAATTCGAATGTATAACATAATATATTCAAATGTAATGTTTATCTCTAACTTCCTTTCCTAAAACTGCAAGATATATTCAAATGTTTGATCCCAAACATTCAAATATTTCTCGATAAGCCGCAATGGTTCGCACAAACTGCAAAAATAATTGTTTGTCTTTAACCGCCACATACATCAAATATTTGAGTACTAACATTCGAATGCTACCGGAAAGTTGTGTTGTATATGAACCAATATGTCCATTCAAAAATTTGCCTATAAATACAAGGCCCAGTGTGGTTTCGAGACACTAGAACTTCCATAATTGTTTATATTAATTATAACTTATACGATTAAAGTATTTTGATATATCTCGAAATAAGTTTAATCTGAAAGCGCTTGTAGCGATTAGCTAGGTCTATCAAATTTTCTTCATGTTTGTTTCGTATACAAATTTTCCAATAGAGTGTTGCGAAAACAAAGGTTGCTCAAGGCACATAGATATCATACCAATTAGAGTGCTTCTTCTTGGGTGCATATCATTGTTGTAGACCTTCTCACATAAAAAAATTTTATTTAAAAAAACAAATACTCCCTCCGTCCTAATATTAATTTCCCAGTTTGACTTTTGCAGTCAAACTTTTTATACTTTGACCGTAATTTAATGAAAAAATACATTGAATTTTCATAAAAATTTATTCGGAATAGATTCATTTTGGAATATAGTTTTGAAATATATAATTTTTATAAAATGTATTTATATAAAAATTGAGATATTAATGGTCAAAGTGTCGCATTGGAGACCGTGAAAAGTCAAATGGGAAATTAATTTTAGGACGGAGGGAATATTTATTTAGGTAGTAAAGAAATACTTATTTTACTAATATGTAGGTCCATGATGGACCCTAAGATCCACCATAGATCGAATTTACCCACCAACGCAATTTGATTACTTTAATGGAAGGATCAATGGTGGTGTTTGGAGGCGATGCTACTTGTAATTTTATATTATGGGACGTGACCGTCCAGCCAAGTCTGAGGGGACTTTCAGGGTGGGGCTCATCCTTTTTTCCTGGGACGTGAAGAAATATGTTTTGCCGTTTAGGAATTAATTACTCCATACTCCCTCCGTCCAAAAAAGAACTTTCCACTTTCCTTTTTGGTCCGTCCACAAAAAAACTTCCCGTTTCCTTTTTTGGAAACTTTTTGTAAATGAAATGTCAATTGTGCCCTTATCCAATTCTTCTTCTCCCTTTCTTCTTTCTTCCGTTTTTCTTTCTTTTTCTCCTTCTTCATTCTTTTTCTTCTTCCTTCTCCTGCATTCTTCTTCCGCATCTTCTTTGTTTTATTTTCTTCCTTCTTCCTTCTTCTTCTTATGCTTTCTTCTTCCGTCTTCTTCTTCTTCTTTCTTCATTTTTTTTTCTTACTTCTTCTTTCATCAACTAAAAGAAGAAATATTTTTTCAGATCTCTGGGTTGCATCTTCACCAGATCTAGATTTGCAGTGACAATATTTTTAATTTTTTCCAGATCTGTGGTGGAATTTTGATTTTCCTCAACGAGAAGTCTCAAAACAGATCTTTTCGAGGGATTTGGATTGCAGGTATGCGACGGCGATGGATGTGGATTGCGACGGAGAGAGGATGCTGGGAGCTGCGATGGAAGGGGGCTTGCGACGGCGGGGCGCTGCA